ACATGAAATAAAGTACTCCTGGGGAAATTTTGCACCCCCGTGCATCCGTAGAATTCATGTCCCCACGCATACTTCTTTGCTTCCCTGCAGAAAATGACAAGGAAGCAAAGGGAAGCCACTGGGGGGTAGGGCCTGGGGACACCCAAGGGCGTTGTTTGCAGGGAGCACTACCCCCAAAACAGAGGCAAGGCATGTGGAGCACACAGGATCACATACCACTGCTCTCCCCCACCCTGCATTTCTGTGAGCGCAGAGCTGCCCAGCTGAAGGAGGATGATGCTCAACTCGCTGAGTCTGCATCTGGACACTGCCTCCTGGGTCCTAGTGCCGGTCATGCTACCATCCTGTGTGCTGAGAGTCATCCTGTTTTCTGCATAACAATGAGTGCCCGTGGTGGGGAAGGGCAAGAGGGGGCAAAGGAAAAGTGGGTGGGGTGGTGGGAAGATGCAGTGGGAGGGGGATACAGGAGTGAGGGGAGGGGAATAGGGGCAGGGGACGGTGGGGAGAGGATGGAGCAGTGGGGGAGAGGAAGAGAAGGGGATAGGGGAATCGGGAGCCCGGCATGCGGCACCCACAAGTTAGCAGCAGCTAGGGCTCCCCCATTAAGCAGGCCCACTGAACCCTCACCATGACAAGCCCCGCCCCAACGAGCCCCAGCCAGCTACACCTAAACCTTCATGCCAAGCTCCCTACACCTAGACCCCCTGCTGAGCCCCAACCACCTTCATCTGGACCCCCCCCCCAGAGTTCAATTGCCCCTGCACCCAGAACTCCCCAACAAGCCCCTGTGCATCCAGATCCCGCACTGAGCCGCCCACACCCAGACTGCCCCACAGAGAACCCCTTCACCCCACCCCTGGATCCCCCCACACTTGTATCCTGCAGAGCTGAGCCTCCCTGCCCATATCTGGTGCACCTGGCGTGCATGGGTAGGGCCCTGGGGTGTTTCTGGGGCAGGCCCAGCACTTGTGCTGTGTCAGGGTCAGTTGCAGCCTCACTGCAGAGTCCCTGTCCTGGGACGGGGGGACTACAGGGTGATCTCCCACCTCCATGCAGCCAGTGGCCTGTGCTCCCCACTGCCATGCTGGAGTGTCCACATGTATTTATTGACAAATAAAATTTGCAGAATTTTAAAATATTGTGCCCAGAATTTTAATTTCTTTGGCACAGAATTCCCTCAGGAGTAATAAAGGCAGAAGTAGATGGCTTGGAAAGTAATCTTCCCCTAAAAAACTTCAATGCCAGATGTGTGTCCCAGAGGTTTTATCAATGCACATTAGTCCCTAATATATTTCTTCCATAGTCATCAAAACAGTTCAATTAAATATCAGTATCTTCTCAGATTAGCTCAGCATAGAGTCACCATTTACCGATAAATCAGGATTAAGGTCACTTCAAAGTAACAAAAGAATGCATTACGATTTCAAAGAAGAATGACAAGACAGACAACAACAAAATAACCTTATGCAGCATATAACAAGCTTTCAGTTAAGTATGTGCTATACTGATTTTTAAGGGCATTTAGTTATAATTGGGTTTTGTTGATGCACAGAGAACATTTGGAGATGTATCAGCTCACGAGAAAGAGAGGACAAGGTCCCATCACATGTTATAGATATATAAAGGCATCTCCATATACAGAACCTTCCTCTTTCTGAGGGTCAGGCACAACCATCTGCGCCATTGCGTACAATACGCTCTCTCTCTCTCCATCAAGCAACTTTCAATGCACCCCCTTTATAACTTGTCTTATAAAGGATCTGTGCATGTGCATTGTATCAACATACACCATGGTTCACTAATGCACTATAGGTATAAGGAAAGCAAACATTGTCTAACCGTAAACACCTGAACCAAAAAGAAACACCGATTGCCTGAAAGCTTGTAGGATTTATCTCTTGCTCTATTCTGATGTATTGAGATTTTCTAAATCACCAAGGGAAGTTACATGCCTGCATTCCTGTACCAGAGCAGACTCACTCCTACCTCCCCTGTAGCCTACAAAATGCTGGGAGACCATCTTCTAGTACAACACCTCATGCAATTTGTTTACAGTGTTCTTTTCCACTGCCTTTATACACTATGTAGCCTCATCCCACCAGTAACACGGAGCCATCAGCTCCTAAGGCAAGGAAGGGAGCGCTCCCTCATGGCTCTGGCTCTAAAACCCAACCTCCCCTCACTCCTTTGCACTGCCTTCCTGAGTCCTCTGCACTGAGTTAGTTAGCTCCTGAGTTAGTTAGCCTTTTAACTCTCTCCAGCCCATCCCAATCTATCAGCTGTCCCACTCCCCTTGAAAGTCAGGGAACCTAACTGCTCTTTGGGCCTTTGACAAATCTCTCCCCATTTTATCAGCTCTACACATTGTAACACTGAGTTTTTGTTGGCAAAACAAGAAAATTGTCATGGTAACGTTTTCCCCCAAAACAATTTTTTTTAAACAAAGGAAGTGTTTGCAAACAACATAGAAATTAATAGCAGTTGCAAATGGAATACATTAATACTAACAAATCCATGATTCTTAAGACTGAACAGTAAAAATTGCTGGAAGCTACAAATAGCAAGTGTGAATAAAGTCAAACTCTTTTTATATTCCACGGTGAGCATTTTTAAGAACTTAAGACAAAGCCCATTTTCCAATGGCAAACAGATCTGCTCTAATCAAAGAGTTTAGAAATGAAGCTGTTTTTATAATGTATTTCTGACAGATGATTCTCCTTTACTACCCCAATCTTGATTCTACTGAGCCAAAATGACACCTCTTATCTCTCTGAAGTCAGTATAATTTTGCCTCTATTAGCACTCAAAATAAAGCTCTTTCTAAGCAAGGCGGCTAGAAATATGGGACCAGATATTCATTTGGTGTAAAGCAGGGTAGCTCCATTGAAGTTAATGGAACTATACCAGTTTACACCAACTGAATATATAGGGTCCTTTACAGAACATGCTCCTCTAGTGCAGGACATGTGAGCACATTTCTATGCTTACCTGTATATCACATCACAGAAGAAGCATGCCTGCTAGCATGCTTATCTAGTTCAGTAAGCTATTCGTGGCTGACCTACACTGCCCAAATAAGGCTCAGAACTGCTCATTTTTCCTTTCAATGAGACACCACGTAGGTGCTGATTTAGTGGTTCATTTATCAAACCTTGCCCAATACTAAGCAATTCATTTGATTTAATCTGGACAATTCAATTTGAACCCTTCCCCCCAGCCTATGAAAAAAATCTGAGATGCCATCCCATGTGAATGGGTGTGTTTTCAACAGCTGACTTAACAGAAGACACCTGACTGAAGGGTGTGAGGTGCTTCATAGCCACATGATTATAGTATTTGAGCTTTTTTTTTTACCTTTTAGATCTTAATTTCATTTGTAAATTCAAAATAAAGGCACTTCAGGGGTCATTCTTACTGCTACAGATTCGGGAGCATCTGCTAGAATAGCAGTTGCACTTTCAGAAAAGTCACCAAAAAATTATTAAGTGTCATATCAATGCAACCAACAAGCTCCTGAAGTTCTGTGGTTCATGATTCAAAGTCCATTATTCTCCCTAGACCTACTGGATACATTTTTGGGATGGGGGGGGGGGGAAACACACATTACATTTATAAGACACCAATCTGCATTCTTCTATTGTTCCATCTAAATGGTGTCTCAGCAGCCCTGAACTTCATATCATCCTTGCAAAAACAATTAAAGTGATTCAACAGGGAGTTTGCTGTTTCGCAGCACAGCTTCAGGACAATGACATCTGGACAGCACACAGTATAGCACAAGTCAATCGGAAGGGAAAGCCTACATCTCCTTGTCCATTCAAGAGACTGCATAAAAGCAGTGGCAGGTGTCAATCAGGAACCCTTCCCCCCCCCCCACCGCGGAGGAAGGCAGAATGATCAGTTGCCAAAACACCACCTGTTGGTCACAGCCAAGCCACCCAGCACCATTACTTCATCCTTCCAAGAGCTGGGCCGGGGCTGGAATAACCAGAGCCCTGCGTCCCTTGCTGTGTGTCAAGGTACAAGAGTCTTCCCAATGGCAGTGACTTCAGCCCCACCCCGACTCATATCACCTGCTGCCAACTCTCTGTCTCTCTCCGACACTCACACACACCCTTTTAATCGTCAGCCGGCATGACCTGCCTTTAATGGGTTCCACTCTGCAGCCTACTTCTCTCCTGCACGGTTTCCACTGATCGCTAGCAGAGTACGCCCTGTGCTCTGCACCAGGGGCTCTCAACCTCTCCAGGCGACCGCCCCCCCTTTCAGGCCTCTGATTTGTCCTGCGCACCCCCAAGTTTCACCTCCTTTAAAAGACGACTTGCTTACAAAATCCGACATAAAAGTACCAAAGTGCCACCCCCACACTAGGACTGGACCATTGTGGACTTTCTCATCTTCACCACGGAGTTACGAAATGCATGGCTGTGTTTGCACGTCAGTCTGTGACAGGGAGAGCGCTATAAAGAGGTCACTGCCTGGACGGAATTTTACTCTGTCCCGACGTGGCCCGCGCTTTGTAGGTCGCCTGCTGTAAAGCCAGGCAGACACCCAGAGGAGCGGGTGTCCCCGCTGGAAGGTCCGCGGGGCAGAGCCCCTGCCCCAGACCGGTACTGGCAGAGCCCCCCGCACCGGGGCCACGCCTGAGGGGCGGCCAGGGGAAGCCTGCGAGGCAGGGCGCCTGGCCGTGCAGCCCGGGGAAGCGCTGCGGGGAGGAGCCCCGCTCTGCTCCGCGGGCGCGCCCGGGGAAGCGGCTCCGCTGCCGAGCCCACCCGCCGGGAGCCACTTTGCCCACGAGCCTCCCTTCCAGGCAGCACCCTCGGGCGCGGAGCCTCCTTCTCCCGGGGGAGCTGCAGCAGCTCGCCGGGGGGCGCCCGTGGGGAGGCGGCGGCAAAGCCAACGCCGGGCGGGCACAAACTTCCCGGAGCGCCCAAGCCAGGCGGCCGGCCGGCCCGGGGAGCCGCCCGCCCCGCCACCCGCGGGCCCCGCGCGGTACTCACCCCGGGGACCGGCCCCGCTCGGCGGGACGCCCAGGCTCACGCGCTCCGGCCGGCGACCGCAGCTAAGTCCATGGGGACGGAGCGGGAGAGACGCAGCCAGCGCCGGTCGGAGATCATGCCGGGGCTGCTCCCGCGCCGCGAGCCGGGGCAGGCGCCTATAGCCCGAGCATCCTTCCCGGGGCGCCCATGCGGCCGGCTCCTACTCGCGTTCCGGCCGGCGGGGCGCGGGGCTCAGCCCGAGCCGGTCGCCCCGGGGTGCACGCATGGGGTGGGGCCGGGGTTCCCGCTCTCTCCTGGCCACTGAGCCCCCCTCCTCCTCCTCCTCCTGCTGCTGCTCTCTGCCCGCCTGGGGCGCTGGCTTGCCGGGCTCCTGGCAAACACTGGGAGGGAAGGCGCTGGGCTGGCTGCAAGCAGCAGCAGCGCCCAAGTGCCGGCTCCTGCTGCGCGCCTGTGTGTGTGTGTGTGTGTGTGTGTGTGTGCCCGCCCGCCCGCGTGAGCCAGCTGGACTGGGGGGGGGGGGGACGCCAGGATGCCCCCCCTGCAGCTCCACGAAGCCCGGGTTGCCAAGCTCTTCGCAGAGCAGAGGGTGGAGCCGCTGGCGCTTGGCCCCCGCTGCACCCTGCAGGAGCGAGTTGCCGCTGCCTGGCTCTTGCAGAAAAGGGGCTCGGGGCATTTCCCCTCCCCTTCGCCCGTTCGCCTCACGCCCACCCGCACCAAAGGCTGGCGGAAGGGACCAGCCTTCCTGGGAGGCGGAGGGGGAAAGCGGGGCTCCCTGGCTCAGTTGCTTGGTCTCTTTTCAAATCTGGCCCTGGGAGGTGCGTTTAACTCAAAGAGGCCCTGGCTGGGAATCAGGCTGCCAGCTTCAGGCAGGGGACTGCAGAAGGTGATGGGAGGTGCTGGTTCTCCCTTGCAAATAGATAACGTTCGGGTGTGAAGACCCCCGCTACGAACCCCCTAGGGGATCTAGCCTCAAATGTCCCTCCTAGTCAGAGGTGCTCCAGAGGGAGGTCCCAAGAAGAAGGAGGCTGGAGAGGCTGGGGCCCGGAACTGAGGTTCAGGAGACTTGTTCTCAGCTCAGCCAGAGACTTCCTGTGTGATGTTGGGAAAATCCTGTTCCTCTGCCCCCTTCCTGCAAAACGGGGGAGGGGGGATAGGTGCCTGAAGGGTTGGGAAGACAAATTGCTAATGACAGGTTTCAGAGGAACAGCCGTGTTAGTCTGTATTCGCAAAAAGAAAAGGAGTACTTGTGGCACCTTAGAGACTAACCAATTTATTTGAGCATGAGCTTTCGTGAGCTCACGAAAGCTCATGCTCAAATAAATTGGTTAGTCTCTAAGGTGCCACAAGTACTCCTTTTCTTTTTGCGAAATTGCTAATGGTTTTTAAGAGGCACTCAGTCTCAGCTACTACAGTGCTAGCCATGTAAGTACCAGGATAAATAGCAAAGCTGACAACATGGGCCTTTCAATTTTAATATGGGGGGGGGCAGGTAGAAACATTGATTTCCACCTAAAGAAAAGTCAGCAATTTTCCATTAGATGCAAAAATCTTGTTTTCTACTAGCTAAAAGCTGGTGCATTTTCTAAGACAATAGAAAATGTGTATTACTTTAGCTCTGATCTTTAGCGCCAAACATTTAAATACCGTGCAAAACACACTAAAGAATTATTTTATTTGCCAAGAGATTTTAATCTTATATCCACAGTCAAAGTGTAAACTCTCCTCTCATTTTCTCCTCAGAGAAATATTAACTCTAAAGCCTAGGCCCCAGTACAACCCAGGAGTCCTCATTCCAGTGCAAGTCAATGAAAGGTTTGGCTTACCCACAACTGGGGGATAAGTACCCCCAGCTGAAGCCATTTAAATGTTATTCCACTGGGAAAATGTAAGAAACAAAATGCTCCGCTGAAGACATGATACTTGTTAGATCATCTTTGTGCTTCCCCTCCCCCCCAAGATAGGAAGGTTTGTTTGTTTTGAGGAGTGGGAGCTTGCAACAAAAAAAGGATATACAAATAAAAGGGATTGTTTCACCTCTCCATTTAATCCACAGCTGCCACTGTAACTGGGAGACAGAGACATCCATTTGGGGCATAGAAATTGCACCTTACAAATGTTGATCAGGAATTCTTAGGGAAGCTTTGTTTTCGATTTTGATTTAAATGCTGCCCTTATGGTCAGTAGGCCTCACAGTCACAAAATGGAGACCAAAGGATGAGGGGAAATTAAAGGGGGGAAATCTACCCGATTAACTAAATCCTGCTCTTTTCCTTTCCCAATACACGCACACACTGTGAAGCCTAGTGGTATCCCTGGATGCAAATATTACAGCTGTTAGGATCTGATCCAACTCCCATTAGAGTCAATAGGAGTCTTTCCTTTGATTTCGGTGGGAATTGTTTAGGAGCCTTGTGACATTTTGGGGACCACCCTGATCAGGTCCTGTCGGCACCTGCCCTGTAACTTTTTGTCACGGGCCTTATTGCCCCTCACCCTAGTTGAGTAATGCCTCTAAGCCACTACATAGTGAGCCCAAATCCTTCATTCCTTGCACACCCAACATTCCTGTTGGCATCAATGAATGCTCTGGCTTTGCAAGAAATGTAGGAATGGTCCTTTACCGTTAATTCAGGCATGAATCCCCTGTCCTACTCCTAGTTCTGTGTTAACCAGAAGTTTGTTCCGCTTCATGGTAGTGTCACATACAGAAATTTCTGCATGGCAAATCTGGAGAATTCTGACATTTTCATAAATATTTGCTAGTTCCTCCCTCCCCTATGAGGGCAACAACAACAAAAAGCATTTCTGCTCAACACTAGAGGACCAATATTTCTGCTGGCATACTTTCACTAACCTCCATGAAGTTATGCCAGCAAAGAATGTAATCCTGGAGTTTTTGGATTTCCCTCTTAGTTGCTTGTGAGTTCTCTTAGCTCTCCATAACTTGTCCCTGTCTCCTGCTGATCATGCCACTAAACTCTGGATTTAGGAGGTTGGCTTGCTTGGGTTGTTTGTTTTTTTTTTATTCAGATTAGTTATTCAGAAATGCAATTGCTGCATGGAATGAGAGCAAATAAATGTCAATCCTGAGTGATGAAAAATCCTGACCCTCTGTACATGTTTAGTTAAAAACTGGTCTTAAATGTCACCAATTTTTCCAATGAGAGATAAAGGGGAAAATGAACGAATACAACAGGTAAGCTAAAATGAAAATGACACGCATTTCCCAAATCCAGCAATCACGTCCCCCAAATGTAATATTAATCCAGATGAGCTGTGGGACTTAACCTCCATCCCAAAAGTTGTGTGAGCTCCAGTTACATTTTAACTGTGCCATATAACCGCACAAATGCCATGCAGCCATAATAAACATTGTTTAATGTTCTGGATCAGTGACAGCAGCTGGCGCTACCAACCCCAGGTGAGTCAATGTCCTGGTTAACACAAACTGTTGTGCTGTGTTTACTTAGTAAGATGTATTAGGATGTTAAATTGTCCTGTATTTTGCTGCTGATAAAGCTACCAGCTAACCACAGACCAGCTTTGGTGCAGAAGCAGAAGAAACATTGGGGCAGGCTTTCCAAACTAACAAAGAGATGCTAACTTTGCTGTTAAGAGATCACCTCCCTCTTTCCCCTGCCTTTGGAAGTGGACATTTGAGGAAAACTTCCCCTATTTCTGTTTCAGTATTGCTAAACCCAAACACTCAGAAATCATGACTTCGGACCACATAAAGAGTGTGACAGGAGAGTGCTCTCCCATTGACATAATTACTTTACCTCCATGAGAGGCGGAAGCTGTGTTGGTGAGAGAGCTTCTCCCATTGACATGGCACCGGTGTGGACAGTGTTTTGGTTAATGTAATTTATGTCGCTCGGGGGGGTGTCTTTTTCACACCCCTAAGCGACGTAAGTTACATTGACTTAAGCAGTAGTGTAGACCAGCACTGTGAAACAGATGTCCAGCTTAAATAAAAATAACCCAGTAAATTACTGTACCCCATAAAGGTACACTACTTAAAGAAGCACATGTGGGGAGTCCTTCCTGCCAACTCATGATCAGCAAAACAAGTCAGAAAATTTGTCCCCATTCCAAACAACTTCCGCTTCCACTTCCAGGCCATTAAACCCCGCACACTATGGTCAAGAACATCATTCTCCCCATCTTTTTTCATGCCATCTTGGACCTATATTGCTTGCTTTAAATGGTTATTCAGGCATCTCAGAAATAGTATTGATCTATGCACTCAAGTGGAATTGATTATTCAGCATGCCACCATTAAAATATCCTCTCATTGCCTAAGCCTTGCTTCCACATACTGGAATGCTCTTTTGTCAACAGCTTGTAGTCAGAAATAGCAAGATTAAATCTGTGCTAAACAGGAACAGGTCAGGCCTCATGGAAATGCTTTGAATTAGATTTTGGGATCTAGCCACAAAGCTGCAAGGGTGCATATCTGAGTGTGTATGTAGCAATTTGCTTCCACAAAGAGGAAAAAAAAAAACAAATTAAATTGTCTTCTGTCACTTCCAGCTTGCTCAGCAGAGAAAGATACATGAACATCTACTGTAGCCATTTGAATTAAGCAATGTGGTTTATTGGGGAAGAAAGCAACTATTACACAGAAAATTTAGACAACCATTTATGACAACCATAGCAGAAGCTCTGCATCGCCTGCTCAGATTTCCCTTTGTTTTACATCAACCCCTGGCACCTAACAAGGCAGAGCTAACCTTGTTATGCTCTTTTGGACTTCTAAGGATACAGTCACCCCTTCAATTCCCTTTCTTTTTCATACCTACTAATGCAGTGTTTAAGATAAGATGTAGAGGACAGCATATAGATTTCAATTTTCACCACGCTTGTGTAACAGAATACTCCCCTGTATTTACACCCTACACACCCTGAAATAATCTTTCAACAAGGTATTCCTTGAAAACCCATAATTTGCTGGTCATCATTGTCCTAATAAAATATCTGTGGCAACATTGTATGTACAGATTTCCTTGTATGATATTATTAATATATGTTCTACCGCCCTGCCCAGGCAGAAGTCAGATCTGTCCTAGGCAAAGGAAGGAATGTGTGCTTGCCTTAAGTTGCATTTAAGCAGTAAAAAGAGTCATCAAGCAGGGAGAGAAAACAAAGGAAGTTCAAACAGCTGGAAGAAAACAGCCGGGAACATCCTTCACATAGACCCTTTGTCTCCTGGGTTTCAGCTGGAAATGTTTTTCAAGACAGGGAACTGAAACTATAAAAAGGAGGGACAAACAATGTAAGGCTCCTCATCCCTCTGTCCACCTCATTCTCTGCACCTGAGAAGACATGAGGAAACAGCTGTTAGACTCCAGGGTAGGGGGTCCTGACCTAAAGAGTTTAGTCAGTAATTTGCTGGAGCATGTGGTGAGAAAGTTTGTTTTGCAACTAAGTTAGTTTCTTAAGTCAATACTAGTAAGGCTTT